AGTAAAAGTGTTGATATCACAAGAAATCAAAGACAAAAGAAAATACTCTAAACAAATGAAATACACATGTCCACCACAAAGCACAATAACAACCAAAAAAAGTGCCACAAACATCATCCTGGGCACATGTTGAACTTGCATGCAAAAGTATTTCATCTACAACTTGTAGCACTCTCTTTGCACCATTATCACTGCATTGCAACCATTTCTGCAGCGGAGAAATATCAACTAGGCTTTGGAATTTGTCCCAAACATTTTACTTTACTCCCCACTAAGGCTGGATGATATAGAATAAAAGCTTAGATTAAAAAAAAATCGTATCTTACTTTTATCAGACTTGTAAAAATGAAAGTAATGCCACACTGGTGAAGTACTGTAACCTTTTCAGGACAATTTCTTCCACGTGTCCTTGCTGCAACATCTTGTTTAAATCCCACTGCTGTCTGTTAAGGACTGAGAGGGGTGACGGAGTGTGCTTGGGTCTGTGTTTTTGACTGGCTGGGCGTAAGTAATGACTAAACAAATGAAATGATCGCGTAGGTTCAGCTACGCGATAGACAAAAATGGAAAAAGAAAACTTCTTGTTGATCCAATATTTTCTATTGAACAACACGTTTCTCAATCAATATAAATCTTTATTGATTTATTATCAGCCCTACTCACCACATCTAAAACTTGATTCTCTAAATAAAAAGATGAAAAATTCAGCTTCTGGTCATCCTTGGCTTTAATGATCTGAAATTTTCGCTCTAATTAAACATAATGTCAGACTGTACGCTGTACCTAGCACAGACTGTTAGCAGCTGCTGCATGCCAGCACTGTGGGAGGGCAGGAGGACCTGATCTTCTGCATACATGAAAGGATTACATGGAGGTCATTTCAGCAGACAGGTAATGAAGGTGCAAGTTAAAGACAGCATTTCACATTGTTTGACTCCATTAGATACAGAGAAAGGTTTGGAAACCTCCATACCTCATTGACCCTCATGAATTGGTGAGAGGACCAAATGTAAGAGCCTGATTACATTTACGGGGACCTCTCTACTTTGTAATTTACCAATAACACCAAGCTGTGATTTTATTTCCCATTTGAAGTAGAAACTTCATTTTTTCTTTGCCCCATTTCTTTAGTTTTTGCATCTGATTTGGTCATGTTGACACAAACATGTACAAAGAGAAAATGTTTGAAGTCTTCACTGCAAGATTTCAAATCTTCTTATGCAGCTCATCAGCTAATTTAATTAAATTTTTTTATTTAATTAATTATTTTAAAAAAACAACAACAACAAAATGAACAAATAAACACACCTTACAATCAACTGAATGAAAAGGAGCAAATAGAAGAGAATCTTATAAATAATCTGCCCCACTCACACCAATCGTTAAATCAATAATCAATAAAATGTGTTTAACTAATACGTCTATCTGAAATACAACTGCGGACTAACATGTCAGTAATTTACAATGAATGCTTCATTTAATGTTCATGCAACATCATCTACAATTCAATGCAGGGTGCAAACAGCAATAAACAAATCACAAAAAAACAACCAAACAAAAGAACAAAACCAATCAAGATTGTTAAAATCAATATGGTAAGAAAATATATACAGTCTTTTTAAATGATGTACTGATTTTGCTTCTTTCAACTCCAGATTGTTCCACAAACTGACTCCATACACAGAAACACATCTCTCCAACACTCTGGCCCTGAAGATTAAGCATTTCACTGTTTAACCAAAACAATATATAATAATTCATCAAATGTCATAATTGATTAAAAATCATTATTTGCTGCAGCAATAACCATTTTCACTTATTTCACCACTGACCTATACCTTTCCTCAGAGATCAGCTGGAAAAACCAATTAAAGCTGGTTTTGTTTTAATTAATTAATTCATGCAAAAGAACTATTCAGAGGCTGGGATTATAAAAATCAATTGCTAAAAGACAAATACTTAGCTTTTTAATAAAAATTATTAGTGTTACCTCATAATGATCTGTTTTCAGTACTGACACAAAGACACACTTATAGAAAATGTATTGAGATCCAAATAGCTAATCAGCTTCACCATATAGATACTTAAGATCCCACACTGTGCACAGCTACCAGACCTAAAAACAAAGTCCTCCATGACTGATACTCGATGCCCTAGAGGCTCAGAGAGACGTGGTGGCAAGACACCGAGACACGTAGGAGTAACAAAACTGATAAAATTAGAATTTAAAAACCAGACACGTGCATATATAGTACAACCTGCCTGCACCAGTGATCTCCTGCAGCAGCTCTTTGAGTCAGCATCTCCTGTTAGCCGAATGTCAAAAATGAGGATAAATGGGGCCGAGGCTGCGAGCAGGGAAATACACTATGACTCATATTTGTACAGATGGAGCAGCTCGCAAACTGGAAATTATTAAAAATGGTTGGTTGCAGTCTCCTTGGGGTTCCTGTGTTCTGGGGCAGCGCCTGGATCTCTGGGACTTGGAGCTCCATCCGTTTCCTACACATCTTTGGGGGGGCAGATCTGTGGTCCCTCACACTCTCTGTTGGACGCTCCTATAGAGAAACCTTACATAAACAAGCGCGTGTACACACACAGGTGCTCACATGGTGCTCTCAAAAGTATGGGCTTGGGCACGTTCAACACATGTCTAAAGGCTGTGGTTGCCACTAAATGCACTGTGATTTATTATTGTGTGATTGTTCAGTTAAACAATGTTGATTTTATATTTCATCACCAGGTTGACGCAGTGATAGCTTGCTCCTGATGTATTGTTGTGTCCCATTTACTTTCTATTCTTTCTCTTTCTGCAGGTCTAGAAGCAGACTCTTGTTCAATATTGTTTATTGTTTATTTTTGTGGACCCCTGAATCTATCCTCATATAAACCCTCTTGATCTATTACGGTAGCACGACTCAGGTTGCGAACGACCAGTCACCAATTCTTGTCATGTGTCTATGTCTATGTATGTCTGATCTCAGAATTGTGTGTACTGAAACTCTTAATTTCCCTCTGGGATTAATAAAGTATTTTTGAATTGAATTGAAATGAAATTTAATTTAGAGGGGAAAAAAGTGGATTCAACCAAATAGTAGAGGCCTGGAAGACAAAGATGATGGCTAACTCTTCTCTTGCTCCCCAGCTGCTGCAGCTGAGACCGCTTTGAGCACCAGACCTCTGCATTCAGAGGGTTTATCTGGTTATGAACGGACATACGCAATGCTGCATTAAATCAATGCTAAAAAGGTTTGTGCATCCTGAGCCTTTGTGAGGTTTATAAAAGTTACAGTCATTAGATAATGAAGGACATCCTCTCTGCCTCCAGGTTTGTCTTTTTCAGGATAAACAAAGAGTCGACCACTCAGTCACTTTACAAATGAACACTGGACTCATTTAATCCCTCATTCCCTATCTCAGCAGAGTAAGAGCACTGTTAAAAATCTGGATCATCAGTTTGCACAAACTGATCGTTTAGTTTCAGTCAAAGACCAGCGACAACACCAGGTGAAAACTAGTGGCATCTTTGTTAAAAGAAGCATTTACTCTTCTGCAAAATGTTTCTTAAATATTCTGGATCACACTTAGTTGGATGTTCCTGCCTTTGATGCTGCTGTAATATGCCCCACCACTACCTCACACTGGAAATATCAGCGACATGGAACCACAGCGCAACACCATTCCTTCAAATAGAATCCATTAAAGTCTATGCTGGTGATTCAAACTAGCCGCAAGGCGGAAATGTTCAGGTGCATCCCAGAAGCGGCTAGCTGCGCCGCACCGCTAAAGATAGGATCGCGTTCTATTTTTGCTGCGTGCCGCTTCTGGGGCACGGCAATTTCCAAAGGTAACATAGGGCTAGACAGGAAATCACACACGGTTTTAGTGTAAAACCTCTGGTAATTTTCAAAATAAAAGACTATAGCGAGGCAACTTCATATCTATGTAGATTACATCAAAACGGGTGACCTAATAACCGATTTACTTCCAGCATCGTTCCAGAAGTGCAGCAGTGTGTTTTTATGGCTTTATTACTGGCAGTGGAGAAGAGCAACATCATATATGATCATACAGCAATATCAAACGTGATTCCCTCTTTTTGGTTTATTGCCAGATGGCATAAACAAACTGTGAACTTTGAAGTCTCGAGGGATTTTGTGATCTCGCGAGTCCAGCAAGGAGGAAGCCGTTCCACAGCCAAGACTCTCCCGGTGTGTACTGGAGCGCACTGAAGCTTGCGAGTAAACCGCTCCGCGCCGCTGACGCTTCCAGTGTGAAATAGGGGTCAGACATGCACCAGACCCGAGTCGTGGAAAGCTTAAAAAGTGATATTAAACCCCTCATCTCTGCATTGTTCCTTTTACGACCTAATGATGATGAAGGTTACTCTGTACTTCTGATGAGACACTTACAAGACAGAAAACTAAATAATTTATTTAATGAAGATGTTCAGCGAACGTTCTACGATTTCGTCAGCCTCTCTGGGTTTTTGCTTCTCTTTTATTAAAATTAAACCTTGCATGTCCAGAAAAAAGCAACCGGACTTCTTTGTTTTCTCAACTGAGTTCCAAACACTTACAGAAACCTTCACTAAAGAAAACTGGTTGTTGCTCTGCTCCAATCTCAGTTTCAGTTTAAACCAAAAATTATCCTTGGATGAGAACCAAACTGTTTTCAAGAGAATACAGAAGTCCAGCTGTCCTTTTTAAACCTATTAGGAATATCACGTCCTGGATGACTGAGGAATTTCACCAGCACTCAACACCGACACAGTCTTCAGAAACAGCTTTTGAAACATCCAACATGCATTCTCAAACCACACATCTGCATAAGATTTAGTTTCCACAACAGAAAACTCCGTCCGACTCTAAACAGCTGCAGAGAACTACAAGACGTTCAGCACAAACACGCTGCAGAGCAGAGGAGGTGTCAAAGCAAACTTCGCTGATCATGAGGTGAAACTACTAATGAGGGAGGTACCTACAGCGCTGCACACCCACCTGGCAACACGACAGGAGACAGCTCGTTATAGCCCCCGAAGGAGGCGTTGCGGATGAGCTTGCGTCCATCCGGGTGCGGGGGTCGAAGTGATGCGGTCCCGCCGCACGTGGAGAAACGGCGACGGCCCAGCAGGCCCTCCTCCTTCATCATGGGGCCGGCCAAAGCTCCCTCGGGAAGGGGGGCACGAAGGAGGAGGGAGGGGTAGGAGGGAGCGTCAAGGAGCACCCCAAGGATGGGAGGTCGAGAGGTGATGAGGATCAGACTATTGTGCTGGTGAACGAGTAAATAAATAAAGCAGCAGACAGAGTAGCTCAGATTGCAGCATTTTCCTCTACGCCTCCTGCAGCCGACTGTCCCTCACCGCCTTACACACTCTCTCTCTGCTCTGAGAGAGAGTGTGTAAGTAGTTTATAAGCTGAGCCCCACCCACTCCCTCTCCTCCTGATGGGGGAGGAGCTGCATCTTGGCTGGGAGAAGAAAGCCCTGATGTTTAATCTTTCATCTTTCACTACAGCTCAACTTCTCATTCGTTTCCATTCATCGTTACTGATCCAAAGGGACACTTCACTGCTTTTCGCTGAAGTCTGCAGCACTGAAAGCTCAGATGGATTTCCTGCCTGTTGCCACAACATTTTTCAAGTGTGTGGGTAATTTAAAAGGGTAACATCTGATGATTGTTAGTTTTGGATGAGCAGGAAATGAAGCCCAATCTGAGGAACAAAAAGGGTGTTAGCACTTTAATCTGTAATTTTGCACAGTTCTCTACTGGTTCTGACCAAATTCCAGTTAATGTGGTAAGTAGAGCTGCTTGATTGTGAAAATAAATCACATTTATTATTAGTCAGTATTCAGATCACAATTATTTAACATGATTACTCAATATCCAGAGTTCACGCCACACACCGACTAAAGCCTAATTTATACTTCTCCATCAGCTCCGTAAAGGGAGAGATGCACATGCGTTGACTGAGACATTTTACTTTTGGACTTCTCTTCTCCTGGGGAGTGTTGCAAAGTAATTCCCCGACAGGACAACAGAGGGTGTATAACTATTCTGAGGTATCCTACCACTGTTAAGGTTGGTTTATGCTTGAAGCGTCCGCGAGGTCCGCAAGCTCCGCGCGGAAAAGTTACGTCATTTTAACAACCACGCCCCTCCACCGCGCTTCCGCACGGCCCAGAATTTCCACAACGCACACCTCGGAAAATTTCTAACCACGCGGATGGACGGACGCGGAAAAACATGGCGGACCGGCAAGAACTAGTATGGCAGAGGTTCGTAAATACAGACATTTGTATGATTCAGCTCTCAGAGATCACCGTGATCAACATGCTGTTAATAATTCTTGGAGAGAAATAGCGCGTACTGTCGGAAAAGACGAGAACGCTGTTAAAAAATGCTGAAATGCCGTGTTGTAAACAGTAATTTCTACTTCTACTATGGTGTAGTGTTGGATCCATGCCGTAGAGCTCCATGCTGCCCCGTTCAGTTTGGGAGAATATTGGCTCACCGCAGAGACGAGCCGCACGAACCATAAACGCTGCGAGTTGTGAAGCGCGTTCCATCCGCGAGCCGCATCACCAAGCGGAAAGTGAATGTGTCAAGCATAAACCAAGCTTTACAGTCACCTGTCCAGTCCACAATAGTGTATTTACTATCAGTTATACACTGTAGTGTAAAGCGCTTTGGAGTCCTTACTCTGAGAGGCGCTATACAAGTGCGGGTCATTTATCATTATCATTTATTATTGTGTTTACGTAGTTTTACTGTATTTCAGAGACTTTTTAACACACATGGATTTGTCCTTCACTCTCCTCCACCTCTTCACTCGATCGGCACCTTTAAACCCACATTTCTCATAATTTCCGTCCACCAATAAAAATGCTTGCTGCATATCTTAGTACTCATTCAGTCACGGCTGAATAAACGTTAATATTTTCAGACTTTCCCCCACGACGCACTCTTTAATCTTTTCCGTGTCTAAATATCTTTTTTGAGGGGGAAATGGTGGTGCTGTTTACTAATTAAAAGGAAGTGATGTCCGGATCAATCACAAGATTGCGGTTTCGATGGATAGTTAAAAAGTTCGACATGTCTCTGTGCCTGTCGGAGCCCTTGCATATAATTGTGTTGCATTTCTGCGTAGCAATGTCAGTGGAAATTCATAATTGAAGCTTAACTCAGCTCTACTTAATCAGACCCATGAAGACGGCGCTACTATAAAAGCAGAGAACGATTTCTGCATCAATATTTAGAAAAACAGATGTGGAAAAATATGGCTTGCAACCACAACAAAAGCATGTGGGCGAGGCCATTTTGAAATTATAAGAAGCCATTTTATATCAGTGTGTTCTGCCCTCATTCTGCCTTCTTTACTTGTGTTGAAAAATATATCACCAGCCATCTGTGGGTTTAACTACTTTTAATGCTATTAAATGTCACCAATTAAAAAAAACTTCATTTGGAACCAAAATCGATGTACAATCTTAGAAAAATACGCAAAACCAGTTTTGAAAATCCAGACTGAGTTACTGGTTTCTATATAACAAACATGCTGAAGCTGTCTTTACTAAGTATCTGAGTACCAGTAAACTGCTGCAACACTTTTCCCCACTTTCCTATATATTATTTATGGAGTTACTCAGTTTAACGTCTTTGCACGAGTGGATAGTACAATATTCCCTTACAAATGTAGAAGCGTTTCTTACCAGATTTTAACTGGAGGCTGACTGATATATCAGGCCGATATAATCAATTTTTTCTATATCAGCCATCGGCTGAAATTATTTTTAAAAGCCTTAAAAAAAATAAAAATCAGGCACCTGTGTGGCCAACTGCTGCCACTACTAGAATGAAGAAAGGACCCGAAGGACTCCAACACACCTTTGTTTTTAAATGTTTTGACTTTATTTTATATTCAAAGTTCAATAAACATTAAAAAATGTGTTGACTTATTTAATTAATATTGCACACAGTAAGTGTTCAGTTGACTTTTACAGCCAATGTGCGGCTAAAAGACACACACACACACACACACACACACAGGCCTTAATAATCGGCTTTAGATATCGGCAGCAAAATTCTTTAAAAATCGGTATCGGCCTTAAAAAACATATCGGTCGGCCTCTAGGGGAAATCTATGGAGAAGTTTTTATTTAAATAAATGGATCTGAAAAGATTGTGAAGTTAATAGTTTAGAAAAAAACGACATGTATTTTCATAAATAGCAGTGAAATGTCCCTTTTTGATAAATTATTCAATCATTAGTTTATAGAAGCTCACTAAACAGCACACACACACACACACACACACACACACACACACACACACACACACACACACACACACACACACACACACACACACACACACACACACACGCACACACACACACACACACGCACACGCACACGCACGCACATGCACACACATACACAACAGAACACAACTAAAGCTCTGTTGAGGACAGAAGGAAGTATTTATCCCCACCATTGCACAGCTCACCATCTTCCATCTCAGGTGTACAACAAGTTAAATCCTAAAGCAACATTAAAAAGTTTTTAACACATTAAGCTATTGCTTTCTAACTGGTTTCAGTGATTCTTGAACCACAAACTTCATATTGGACAGTACTTTGTTGCCCTCTGCTGACCAGAAACAGCATTCAACAGTTTGTGGCTTCATGTAGGAACACTAGTGGGAGGTCTCTACCTGATTTACAGCAACAGCTGTTTACGGTACTAGTAGCTCATATAAAGGATAGCAGTTAGCTGGTTTTAGTCCGCTAACCATCACTGAAACACCGAAGAACAAAGAGGAAAAAAGAAAGAAAAACAAAAAGAAAATAAAGAATTTTGCTTTTTTTTTTTGTTGGTCTCATGCAAAAGCCGAAAATCAGAAGGAAGAGAGTAATGTCTTAGGAGGTGAAGCAAAAGGCTAAAATCAGAGTGAACATATGTGCAGAGTACACGCGTTTGAACTGAAGGAGGCTATGAAATCATGCACTAATGGTGACCTGGCTTTGTTGCTACTGGACTTGTAAGTAATCACTTTTTTTCCAACAATGTGGATTTTTTACTTTGTGGCGTATTTTATTTTCACGTGGCTCATGTTTGCGTTAGCTTGTTGTTAGCGCTAGCTACAGCAGCCTGCTGCAGCACTGTTTACGACAATTTTAATTCTGCTTTCATCCAGAAGAAGAGAGCATAAACCTCATTTAGTGTTGATATAAAGATAAAACATAATAAGCGTCAAATAAATTTAAACCCGAGAATTGATCGGGATTTGACTAGTCATCATTCTGGAAACTATGAGAGTTGATTAGAAAACACAAACTTTTAGTCTTTTTGGCAGCTGTCCATAATAAATCTGACCCAGGATGATTTTTCCTCCAAACAGAGGCAAACGCCTGACGCATTTGGATATTTTTAGGCTCAGTGCCTTCCAGTTATTCAGCTCTTACATGTGTGTGTGCGCACACACGTCACTTTCAGCGCTGATAGCCAGCTTTCATTTGAAAATGATGTGAAGTGGGTGAGAGGAGGAATAACAGAGACGATAAGGCTCGCTGGACACATGAAGGACAGACGGAGGAAACACTTGACCTGAGCAGGAAAGAGCAGACTTAAGCTTCATCTTTGAAAATGATTCATTACTTCTGATCCTTGCCCAGTCCTACTCATCTGCATCATTCTATCAGCTGATCTACACTAGTTTTTGTTTTACGTGTTAGCCTGCCGAAAAATCATCTTCAAGCTTTTACGTCCACGAACTGTCCATGGAGACTCCTCCTCTGAGAGATAGCGAGCTGCATAAACAGCATAATCCTTTCTAAAGCGTCTGTCCCTTGGGTAACCGTTCACTCCACCACTGATAAATCTGCAGCTCTGGCTGTTGTCTGACTCAAATGTGCCTCAACTGAAGGCAATCAGGCATTGGTTTGAATAATTCATATCCCAGAACTAATTAACCTGCTTTGCAGAAAAAAAAAGAAAGAAAAAGATCCATTTCTGAAGCAACAGTGTTTGAGAGGAACTTTTTCTAAATATAGCCATCATCTGGGTCATTTTTCAAGCTACTTCCTGTGAAATTAGAACCGACTCTGGTCGAAACTCAAGGATGATGATCTGTCCTTTTAATGCTTTATTATACCTTAGGACGGGTATGTTAAATGTCCGACAGAAGCCGTCCCACCATGACTCAGTGACAACTGAGTTATGGTGTGAGTAACGCAAACATCACAGATGGATCACAGGCTGGAAACACCTACAGCGTCACAATTAAGGCTCCAATCAGACCATGTAAGCCTGGGATTAGTTTAGCAGCTAAAGAGGCTTTCTGAAACACAGACATGTGAGTATCTTCTACTGAACTTCACAACACTTGAATGTCTTTTTTTAGTCTAGATTCAAAATTTTGTGTTGGTGCGACTTCAGTTCTGTCCTCAAGAGTCATCTCACATTCATACCAAAAACAAAACGCACAGACACTACTGATCTGAGCTCAAACAACAGCAACAAACTAAACACATGACTGTACCTTTCTTCTAAGACTAGTGTGTCCAAAGATCAAGTGCAGGCAGCAGCTTCAGCTCCCGTCTCATGCAACAATCGCCCCAGATTCACTCCCAAGTCGTGTCAGTCCACAAAATGCTTCGGTTGTCCGAGCACAGCTCAGGCCCCGAAGCAGAGACCTTCTCCATCCTGTCCTCCTGTGTTGCCACAGGCACTTCTCAGTCTACGCTACTGCTCTCTGAACCAGTACTCGTCGGTGCTTCCCTGGGCTCGCTCATTGGTCGGCTACCACTGCAGTAAGATAGGATGCTGGATGGTCAGTGGCACAGGGAGAAGATGAGGTCAGCCCCCTCAGAGCGGTTAGCCCCGTCTGACAGGAAGTAATCCCTGTGGCTGCTCTTTATCCATGCCAACCCCACCTGCTTCCTGGCTTTTTATCTTTTCCTGCTGTTCAATTCACTTTCTTCACAAACACACATTTCCATCCCTAACGCCCCTGCCTACCTTTTCCATAGCACCAGCAGCTGACCTAAAAAAGAACAAAGCAAAGGGGTGCATCAAAGCTAACTAAAGAAGTTGTGTCAAAATAGCCTCCAGGGTTTATTTTTATACTCTGAGTCATAAAGGATAGAAGGTTCTGTTGGCAACCCAACCAGAAAGATGGGGTATGTCTGTGCAGGTCTACACACGCCCACATGTAACAGAAGAATGAGGCCAAAATATACAAAAGAATAATTAACAGGATCTTGGGGAATTGATGAAGTATCCAGCAGCTTTTTGACAATTTAATATGGTAAAAGGAACCCTAACCCATACACAACATGACCATGCATCCTCCAACCACCTTTACCCATTAGAGGATTGACACAGGTATGCCTTGAAGAGATAATATGGAACTTTTTCGTATTTTCAAACACATTTTCTTGAGCCAGTATGTGCTAAACCTTTACAGAGTTAATGAAATGTTACTCAGACCCTCTCACCTCATGTGGCCAGATAAGCGCACTTGCAACTTCAGAGTGGCAGGCTGCCACCCGTTGAACTAAATTAAGCTCACATAACTGGCGCTGCAGTCTGCTTCCAGCTCGCTTCCTGCGTGGTTTAGATCATGAACACATCTGATTTGATTCATTTAATGGTGAATCACTCCTGTAGACACTAATGAAGGCTGGGAGACATTTCAGCTGTTAGATTAAGGTGTTAAAAAGACAAATACATAGTGAGGAGATGAGTTTCATTTTTGGTTTAACAACAGTGAATTAATAATAGACACTAGGGGGTGCTAAAAGCAAGGAAAACTGCTTAGTATCCCTTTATGTCTGATATTACCACATAGAAATATTAAGACTCTTTCAAAAATATGAAGAAATCCCATTCATTTACATGAAACTAGCCAAATATTAGTGTCAAAAAATTTAACTGGTTAAAAAAATGACAGAATTTCAACCATTTTTGTCCAGACCTGTTCCACAAGTTCTTTTTTTTTATAATTCTGTTGTAGCATGGTTGAAAAACAATGTCTGACTTTCATTAGTTAAATTTCATAGAATTTTTATTTATATTTACTTTGGTCAGATTCAAGTTATTTCTGAGACCACTGTGGGTTTTTCTTTCATTGCCTGAAGGGTACCAACAACTTTTTCTTCATCTGTATATACGATGGCTTGCAAAGCTAGCTTATTAGACAATTTTCGAACAAGCACACGCAAAAAGATGCATTTTGGTAGCAGGCAAAAAAGCAGCTAGTACCCATTTTTGGTTATACACAGCTAATAAACCTTTTCTGTGGCTAAGGCATGATTGAAATACATAAAACTGATAGCTGAACAGATCAGTTACAGAATCAAAAGTCTATCAGTAGATTTTTCCGTATGAAGAGGTGGATGAACACAATTCCAAGCCTCGTCAGAAGTGAGGCACTTCATTCCTAGGATGCACTCAGAGTATGTTTCAAAAGGCCTAAGAGTCAGGCTGGTATTTACTATGCAAAGCCCATTGACGTGACAGAACTGTGTGACATTGCTGAACTACAAGCACCAGTCCTCCCACCTCAGCTGTGAATATCACAGCTCTGTCAGCTGTCTTCTTGATCTCACAGACCCAACGTCACTGTGACATCTGTGGCCCAACAACTGAACTCTAAATGACACTAGTAAAAGAATTATGCATTAGGGAAAGAAAGGCTAATGAAAACCCACGCTGCCACCAGGCCTGTGACTGAAAACGAGGGCTTTGATTGTTGCAGACATATCGAGACCAATGGCTACAGCTGGTCTGATATCAGTATTCTTGGAAGTAAAGATCAGTTGCCATAGAAACCATTTTGGACAGCATGGAGAGGAGGGGTTAGAGAAAATCTTTGAAGCTGGATTACTGACAGTTTTAGAGCAGTAGGGTCCTGCTGATGGTGCATCATGGTCCACTCTCAGAAAGCGATCAGTCAAGCCCACACAAATTAGCTCTGTAGGACATCCTGCTGAACAAATGATAGAGTACCATAGAATATAAGTTGCACACTTTATAATAGTCCCTAGGTTTAGTGTAGGGAAGCTCCAGAACAATGGCCTTTCCAGAAAAATGGAACAATGAGCAGTAAGGCTAAAGTCAGAACTAATTGACTCTGAGAACAAAATATCAACATTTTGGGTGCATGTCCATGAAACTAACTACCCAGACTTTAATTGAACTGAGAACTTAATGACCAAGTTCTCTGACTTTTGCAACACATTTCTCTAGTAAGGTATAAATGATAGGTGAGCTACAGCACAATAGAGCTTCAGACAACTATATTTGGAGTCCTATTTCGTGATATCCTGACATCTCATCTCTGATCGGCTAACAGCAAAATAACTCTACCACTGACTCTGTTTGCTCTGCAACGTTGATGCTTTTTCTCCACAAATAACATAAGCCTGAAGGAGCTCGGCTGTGTGGTGGAGCTTTCATTTGTTTTTGTTCATTTTCTGACTTTATCTTTTTATGTTAATCTATTTCATTAGGATTTTATGACTGTGTTTTATTTTGTTTTGATCTCTATGTGAAGCACTTTGTGTCTGATGAGTGTCATATAAATAAAATGTTCTTTAATGTGTTAAATGTTTCAGAGTAGAGCTGGACGATATAGAATTTTTTTTATCAATAACAAATTTTTAATATTGATCGATATCAATAATTATAGAAAAATATTTTAAAAATGGTAGAAAAAACATTTGACGTGCAGCTCTGGCTTTTTTATTTTTGGTATTTTTATTTTTTCTCCGCCTCTTCGACACATTTTTTTTCCATTGCACCACATGTCTAATGATAGGAGACGTGGATGTAGGACCATGAACAGAGACGATGGAGTTTACTTATTGGACCGCACATGGGACTGCATCATCGGAGAGAGTAGAGCGGGCAGCAGAGGGCGACAACGTCCTCTGCTGCCCGCAAACGGAGTAGGAAGTGACGCCACCATCAGCGTTAGCTCTGAGGATGTTTGCAGCTGCAAACGAAACATCAGCAAAGTAAAGAAAAAACCTCATCTGTGTTTAAAAAAGAAACAAAAATGGAACCAATAGAAAATATTGACTCATTACAGAAATGTAAAGCGATGGTCAATAAATGCAACAGAAAAGAATGAAATGATTGAAAATTCAACACTGAAGCAAGAAACTTTGTGAAAACCAACATTTAGGTCATTCTCTAAATTTGTGGCCACTGCTGTATATCATGCAGTGTTTCTGTGTGGACCATCAGAGGAAGTCATTTCCTTCTTGTTGTTATAGCTCCTTCCTTGTGGTAAAGAACAGAACTCCAACACGTGGCAGTGACGCAGATAACCATTAACATGCTGATCAATCAACAACTAATACAGACATCCTGCAGAAGGACAGTGTTCCATTTCACCCTGCAAAGACCAATCACAAACAACTCTGCAAACATGACTACAAATCCCAAACTTCACAGACACAGCAGGAATTCAAACAGGACTTTTGGACTTCAGTTCTTTACATAGACTAAACCTAAAATAGAACAAAATGTGGTTCAGTGCTGGTTGATGCACGAAGAGGCACCAAACTAACATGCACCAAAGCACTTTGGAAGTATTCATTTATCCTCAACAGCACATATTTTAACATCCACTAGATGGTGCTCTGGTACAATAATAATGCAGAAGAGCAGTTATGCAAGACCTTGGTTAAAATCTACTCTTATTTCTCTTCAGCACTCCGTTTTATCCGTCTGTTGCTGCTGAAGTGTGATAAATAATGCAGAGTTATCTTACCGTAACAATAAATGCAAGCTGATGGATTTAGAGTAGCAGGGCTTCATCAGTGCAAGCAGTTAATGCTAATTCAGATTTATTACTGGGGTTGTTAACAGAAAACTGGTTTTAAGAGTAAGTGGCAGGAGCATATGTGGGTCCATGCTGTGGTGTAGCCACATTTTTAACATCTTCAGTAAATCAGCTAAGATTTTACTGGTTTTAGACATAACTAAGGCAGGTAAGTGATTCAGCAGCTGATAAATATTCACACGTTTAATCGAATGAAAAGCTGCATGTTGATGTACAGTTCTGCTTTCTTCACCACTGACCTGCAGCAGAACTTCTACATATGTGGATTACTGGAGTAGGGAAATCCTTAAGCATGTCCTGAGTGATCCGACCTCAGAGATCAGATTATATTCAAAGTGGTGTTCTGATCATTTTAACAGGATTACTTATAATTTCACTTTGTTCAACTTTAAGTCTCTTAACTTTTTACCCCAATAAATCTGCTGTGGTCTACGAATGCCTGGTGGTTCGTTTTCTGTGGGGAAAAAAGCTCCTGTGCTCCCGTTTCAGGGGTCAGACGTCAGCAGGATGTGGAGTCTTGCTCAGTAATGTTCATTATATGCAAACACCTTGTCTCTGATTGGCTACGCGTCTCTGCCGCTGTCTTCAATCGCTCTTAGTTATCCCCACAAATAACACAAGTAATAGTCCCGCCTTGTTGTAGAGTTGCTAATTGTTAGCTTCTACTAGCCGACATGTGCTCTGCTCTCACTTCCTTATTGCTGTTGCATGCCAAGATTGGTGAGGCCATGAATACTAACTTTTCCTGTGAGAAACTAGACTTTTGTGATTCACTCATTTTGCAGTCTATTTATCTTTCTGTGGCTAACACAGGCAACGGGGGTTCATGTTCAGCCTGCATTTTCAACTCAGAGTGACCAACGACGATTAGTTTCTCAGGGAGCGAGACCTTTAAGACCCTTTGAAGATCTTTATGAATTCAATGTAAAACAGGAACACTTGATTAAAACTCAGGAGTCGCTCCCCCAATTTTTTATGATGAACTCTTGATATGAAAAACCTTTCAGCTCATTTGTTACCAACAAATTTAACATCAGTAATTGTAAATGTTTGTGTCTTCAGCATAGATCTGATAGTTGAAGACAGGTCTTTTTATTGAGTCATAGTACTATGGTGGTTCTTTGTACCTAAAGGAGTTATTGATTCTTTATCAATACATTTGCAGTAGTCTAGTAGGAATAAATGCCTTGTAAGTCGTTCTCGGGGGGGGGGGGGGGGGGGGGGGGGGGGGGGGGGAATATACAGGTGCACCATTTCTCTGACCTAAAAGTTGCACACATCACAGCTGAGCTTCAGACGGCAGGTTTTGTCTTATTTCCATATATTTGGACATCTTGCCTCAGATTGGATAACAGCAAGGTGACTCTACCACTGACTTGCAATGTGGATGTTTTATCTCCACAAACAACACAAGCCCGGAGGAGCTTCTGCTGTGTGGTGAAGTTGCTAATGGTTAGCTTAAACTAGCTGGGATGTACTCCCTGCTGATTCCTGGACATTAAAACAACCACAGACTTCACCGTCGTGAGTCAAGATTAGTGAGTCCATAAATGCGAATACTATACTTTTCTGTTTTGTCTCCCCTGGCCACCTAAACACTCACCAACCTGGTCATAACTCACCTTTAGTCTCCTAGCTCTAGTTTTGGCTGTGATTTACATAACCCCTCCCCACCACCACTAGTCACCTACCACATTTATTGATGATTGGAAGTTTTATTTTTTCTAGCTTTAGTATTTGAGGTTGTAATGCAATAGTGTGGTTCATTTCATTTAAATGTTTGTTTAGTGTTCAGTCTACTTGGTCGTTAAAGTGACAATGTGTAGTTTCTACCATTAATCTCTGGAAATATCCATCAAAATGTTTTTGTAAATGAATTAATTGATGCCCAGTTGTTGAAAAATATTGAAGGCTTCATAACCTGTTCTAAAATACATGGAGCGGGTCTAAGTCTCCGGGCGACGCCACATTGGATGCCATCTTTCCTGCTACGGAAGCCCGTGAGGACAAAATGCATTTACTAATTTGTAACAAATGATCACAAAACTTTCATCATCAATGAACTTTGCTGTTTTACCTCCTCACTCGTTGCCAGAGATGAAAGGGAATCTGATGTTCTTGTTATTTTGCTGGAGGTTGTACTTCCAGGGATTTTTGACCCTAATGGCCATCCGTTGGTAAGGTCTTACTTGAACACAATGATTTTGGTATGTACTGCCCCCTATCAATGGGGAAATTACACACTGTGACTTTAATGTTCCAGCTTTTACAGCCTCAGTTTGGTCACTTTCCACCATTAGCTTGATCATGGTTTTTACTACTTAGAAATTCTGGGCTGCCCACATTTTGTCCTCTACCCAATGCTTTACTACACAAGTTTTGCTGTTTGGTTTATATTATTTCTGTTTTGACCCTTCTGGCCACCTACGCCCTCCCCAAACTGGTAACAACTCACCTTTAGTTTTTGGCTGTCTTTCCCATAATCCCTCCCCACCACTTGTAATCCTGTTTTATTTACTGTTTAGTTGTTTATTGCATGTTTGTTAAATATCAAACAAACCCTACAGTCCTTCTTACTCATTTAAATTTACAATAATTCCCTCGATCTAAAGACCAATCTAATACCGAAAATACTAATCTGGTTAAAATCACTTTTCATAATAGTCTTTACACACAAACCTGCTCATGTTTGTCTGGTAAATACGTCCAAGTGTTCGCGGTTTTCTTTATAACACCCACGAGTATAAATCCACTGGCTCTGGTATATCAATACTTGTGAAGTAGATAGATAACATGTAGAGAACATGTCATGTAGGTGAAGAGTGAAGTAAACTGACTCTTTGCTCGTGTTGACAAGGGTGATACTTGAAAAGTTCAGCTTTTATCTCTTTAAAGGTGAAGACAGCAGATCTTACCGTGGCTGTAGCTGACCCCCGGGCTGAGGGTGGAGGGGGTGCTGGTCTGCTCCCTGCTGGGGGTTTGGAGGCCAGCCTCCTTCTCCTTGTCCCTCTCCTTCACCTGCCGCTGGCTCATCCTGATTGGGGTCAGAAGGAGGGGGTCATCACCGTGCGCTATGGCAGCTGAAGGTAGAGAGAGGTGGAGAGGGAGGAACACAGAAGGAAAGAGAAGACATGATTCAAACATCTGCAGGAAGCAGCTGTTGGGCACATCCCTGTTTCATAACCCTGTTTGATAACTTACGTAACATTTGTTTTCATCTCGTTTAATGAGAAGAAAAAGGTGTTTCACGGGAGCTAATAACCCAAATACGTGAGCCTGTCTTACCACAGAGACATGAAACCAGCCACTAAGGAAAAAGAGGACTCCAGTAGGAAGAAAAGATGTGTTTTGTATTTAATAAGATCCTCAGAAGCTTTGATCTGAACAGCTCCCAACAGAAGCTCATGTAAAACCCACGGATCTCTAAAGCCTTCTTTCTTTCCTCTAATAATCCTGGAACTAATGAAAGCATTAAATATTTAATATCATTCATTTGTAACCTTTCAGGTACCATTGCTCATGGTTTTGTTTGCTCTTTTCTCTTTGAGGTGTTTACAGATGTAATGTCGCTCAAATGGAGTCACTTGACTGTCTGAACCCTTTCCTTTGATTCTCCACCTTTATTCAGACACAGAGAGATTTGGACTGTCAGCTTGACTCGTCTGGAAACTTCAGCGTCACATCAGCAACAGATAAAATATGTTGTTATTCCATAATCTGTCATGACTGGCGGCGGGAAGGTTAAAAAATCCCAGGTGAAGAAGGAGTTTCACATCTGGGCCAGCACAGACCGGACTGAGTGGTGTCGGTCCGGGTCCCGTACCGGTAGCGTCTGTTCACACACACTTCGCAGGAACGAGGACATCTCCGAGCATGTGGGCGAGGCGAAAGTCCAAAGGGGTGGGAGTGAGCGATCTTTACTCCACACGAAAACAGCATCAGGTGACGAGTTAACAGGAAGGTCATCTGTATGCTTCACAGAAACACAACTCAGCAGAAAAATGGTGATGTTGATGGACAATGGTCTCAGTCTTCAGACTGAACCAGGAAATTGAAAGGGGGGGGGGGGTAGTCTCACAGCAGTAAGAAAAAAGACAGGGAGCTGCCGCAAGCTTCAGTCAGGCGATAATGAATGGATGAATTGCACATGCGGAAAGCACCCGCTGGTTGAATCTATCCGCCAATCGGAGGCTCCCCCTAATGGTAGGCGTGCATTAGAGCTGGCCAATCAGCCGTGGTGGGCGTGTTGGCCCGGGCCAGCCCTGACCGGACCACCAGAGAATAAGGGCTGAAAAACCGCCCGGTAGGAGAGCGAAAAGTACCGGGCCTCCCAAGTATGAAAACAACATATGCAATGTGGGCCGAGCCAGGCGGTACCAGATGTGAAACCCCTATAAACCCAGTCCAGCTTTAGGGATGTGGTGGAACGAGGGATTCCCATCATGGATGTGTAGCTGACACTTCTGCAGCATCGCATCTGTGTGATGCTGTCATGTTTCCAACACCTGATGAATCTGTGACATGAAAAATTAAGTTCTGAAGGCAAAAGGGGTTTCAGCCTCTTTGATGGCCTAATATTAGCAGCACCAGCAGCGTAATAAACCCATTTTTGCAACAATAACAGGGTTTCCCCAAGAACATGAGTTAAGCCTGACTGGGGGGGGGGGGGGGGGGGGCTCGTGCGCTCCATCCCGCAATACTCCTGTCAGAGCGGGGTGGTTGCACATGTTCCGCTGCTGTTTCTCACCAGTATCAGCTGATGGAGGGCTCTAGTTTCGTTGCGCCGTTCATGTCAGCGGACACGGTAGGGTCGGGGAGAGGGGCGGGGCGGGCCATGATGCTTAGCCTCGCGGGTGGTCAAGCAAAGCCTGGCGGGCCACCAGGCTTATCAAGCGCTAGGAGAAACCCTGAATAATCACTGACAGCAGAGACTCAGATGTTTCTAAATTTACCAGGTTTTTGCAACTCCATATGTTGACAGATTCAGTGGTTAAACATGTGACACTAGATGATAGGAAGTTGAAGATGAAGTCACATGCTGCTGTGCACCATGACACACACCAAAAAAAAGACCAACCCTTTATAACAACATTAAGAACCCTCCTGTTACAAAAAACAGGTGAAAGGAATTTGTCTTAGTATTTTTAAATAAACAGAAACATTATTATATATATATATATATTATTATTATTATTAGCTGCTACTTCCTGCTTCAAAACTACTCTCTTATGTTTGTAACTGTGAATAACCCTCCCCTCTGATGACTGCATAAAGGTCGCAGGCTTACCGGAGGTGGCAGGATTCTCTCTCAACTCGGCATGGTGCTAGCAGAGCAAGTAAAAAGAGGAAGAAAAGAGGAAATGGGAAAACAGAAGAGGGAATAGAGTGGAAGAGATTGGAAGAATGCGTGAGTGAATTGGAAAGGATTAGAGGAGAGGAAGAGGGGGTGGTGTCCACCATGCGTTGTTGACCAGATGTTCACAGGTGTGCAGCGTTGTTGTTGATTGTGGGCAGCAGCATCAGCCAAACGGGATGACAAGTGACAATCATAAGAAAAATAAAGAAAAAGGGAAAAAATGAGACAAGAGACAAAACAAAAGAATAACAGACATTAGTTTAACTAAAAAGTTCAAAACATAACTTAAAACAAAAGGAGCCTCACACAGAAGGTGGGGGTGAGTGTGGATCTGGGTGAAACTAAAGGAATGAATTCACAAAAAATACCACAGAACACACACACACACACACACACACACACACACACACACACACACATCCTGCTTACAAAAAACTGTGTGCCACTCATTACAAATGATCTTTAACGTTCTGATTATAGTGATAAAGTGTAGCAACCCTGAGTGTCATTTGGGAGATCCGTAGTGCAGCATTCACTGTGTTCTAGTCTTAAAAATACAACTCGATAAAAGACTGGCTGATGTAAATGTGATGGGGGTGGGCGACACATCACACATTTACTGGTATCAAAATGTATGTCTTTTATCTGCATCATTTTGCTCACATCAGAATAATAGGTGTTTAAAGAAATGATAGTTGCATGTAAATCGCCAAAGTTCATGTTGCTTTAAGATGCTGTGCTACCAACTGGATGGGGCGGAGTCACAGGAGGAAATAGAAAATGATTGGCAGAAAC